GCCTCACTTTCCCCATTGTTTGTTGTATGGCAGCCCCTTTTATTGACCGTTTCTCCCCTCATTATGTATTTAATAAAAGGAAATAAAAATGAAAAAAAGAAAGAGAAATCGTTGAATAGTCAAAGTTTATTATGGGAAATACAAGCGGTTGCTTTTCTTGTCCTTTCAACAAAGTGCAACTGATTTTTCATATTTGGGACAGCGTTAAACAGTTAGTGTCCTAATTATGTTCAAATACAGGACAGACGGCCTAACCACTAGCATGTGACCAACGACCGCCTTGTTCTGTTCACATGATATCGATCAATGTCTTTCACGCCACTCAGTTCATTGGAATGTTTGCTCGCAGTCAGAACTGTTTCTGGATGACTTATTTCATCTAGACATCACCGTCCTATGTTCCACGCTTTCTCTATTCCTGTTGATAGCTCTTTCAGCCGCGAAGACTCGTGCTAGTTCAGCGAACCTATGCGACCGATGGTATTGCAGATAAATTTTAAAATGTGAACTAGGCTTTCTGTTCCGTTTGTCTAAATAGGAAGAATACTAACCATACTCCCTCATTGTTTCACATTCACCCAAACATCTAGGTCGTTTGGAAAAATGCCGGTCCACGTCCGGTGATCTTGTCGTCTTTCAACGCGGACCTATGTGCTGTTCTTCGCCTTAAACAGTCTCACCTGCCAGTATTGTTCATCACGCGGGGCGGTATCACATCAGCTACAGAACCACCCAGTATGTTGCACGTGGATCTGCGTCATTCCAATCTCTCCGTCGCACTGTCCTGGGCACATCTAATGAATTTATCCGGAGTTGTTACCTTGGGTCAGCATTTTGGATCTGCAAAACAACTCTACGACACGAATCAGGATCAAATTAATAGCCTACTGTCGGATATGCAAGAAAAGAAATTGGCATGTCTCGTTTACGGTGATGGTGTGTCCGAAGTGTCTTTCTTACACGATGCTGCCAACTACGGTTTGACTGGCATCATAATCGATCGTGTTGATTCGTACATGCGGGAGTATACTGATTCTCTTCCAGGCTCTCCCGTTTAGTTTACGGATTTATTTTCAAATGGGCACTTCAGTACTCTACATTCTGTCCCCCTCCCTCTCTGTTCTTGTTCTCGTTCATCGTTCCTATTCAGGATACGTATCTTCATCGTTATATGCACTCTATCACAATCCCCTAGGATTTTGATTTGACCTCATTTTGTGTATCTTTTCGTTCCCAATTAGGTTTTCAAATGCCTCATCCTCTGACGCACATTTGACAGACTATTTTGATTAATAAATGTGATTCACAGTCCACGCGTCCCAGATACCACAACAAACCCAAACAACATCTTATTACCGTACATACACTATGATTTTTCTGTAGCAATGGCGTTGTGATGAGAACATAAGTTAAATTCGTCGACTACTCGCTGTCTCAAAATTCCAGTGGTACGTCGTTCGCCATCTGTGACTTCATAAAAGTAGCCATGATCTATTCAGCATTGTTTTTGCGGAAGAATCTGGTGCATTGACGAGATATTGACGGTGACCAGGAGACTCGGTCATATTTTTCACGTTAGGCTCCCTAGATGGGAACCTCGGGATCATTGTAATCAATGTTTAGGGATACTAAATGATATTTCTGGGTGTAGCAAACAATGGTGCTCGTGAATCTACACATTCGGTTTATATGAATGCTCTATCTTTTCTTTGTCTCTGCTCGTAATATCTCATTCTTCCTTCTGCTCTTTTATCCCAACGGGCAATCAGACAGCAACTAAGATCGGCCCACGTAAGTGCTTAGTTAATGGTTGCAAAAACTGAACTGAAACTAAAATTTATGACTTCGGTGTTAGTNGTTAGTTGTAGAAGGTTTCAGGTCCAACAAAACGTTTACGAGGCTTTCCGTTCATTTCTGAAACTGTTCTCGGGTCAAACTGTATACATGTTCTACGATTGGTGCAATAACTTAGTTGAATAAATACGAATAAGTGCCCACTCCGATTAATAAATGGTTTCCAGTGCATTGGTGTGGCTCTCAGTGAGGGAGCTGAAACCGCGCTCCTGGACTGGTTCCCAGTCGACAGTAGGCTGTGCGCAGTGAGACTTAGAGGTGCGTGCAAAGTAAGCAGCCGTCGCCCCGATAGACAAAACCCGTTTATCGTGTCGGTGTACGCCCCAACGGACTGCAGCCCAGATGCAGTCAAAGATGAATTTTATCATAACCTACACGACCTCTTGCGTAAAGCGAGTAGGGCTGATATCGTGATTTTAGCAGGAGATATGAATTCAAGAGTAGGTCGGCTGACTTCGAGTGAAGACTATCTGGGAGGTCTTTCGGACTAGATTCCTATCACTCGGAAAACGGGGAACGGCTGTTGGCTCTCTGTTCTGACCACCACCTATTCCTCGCCAGTACGAACTTCAGGCGCTCCAACTGCCGGAACGCCACCTGGCGTCCGCCTTCCTCGAACCAGAGACGGACGCAGATCGTCCACATTGCCATAAGCCACAAATGGCGGGGTTGTGTGCAAGACTACCAATCTTACTGTAGCACTCCCCTCGAATCTGACCACTAGTTTGGACAAAGCTAGCCATTTGCTTCGATGGGCGTTCCAAACGCACGACTGTTTAAATTGTCTCAACCAGCACACCTAACTGTCTTTCAAAACGCGCTAGCTGAAAAGCTAAAACCAACCCCATCAGATGCCGTTAACCAGCACTGGTCGCTTATCAAGAATGCTCTGTATTCTGCTGGCTTAGTTGTAGTCTGACACGCCGTGCCGTGACACCCTGGATTTCTGCGGAATCTCTACACCTTGACGTACGCCGATTAATTCTTACCGGCAGCGAGCATATTGAACTATGACCCGCAACGAGTCGTAACCTCAACGCAAGCTTACGCAGAGACCGCAAGATCTGGTGGACTCAACGCGCGTCAGAGATGGAACCTGCTGCCGCCATGGGAAGCTCCCGTAAGCTGTTCCATCTCATCCGGATCCCAGGTAGGAAAGCCTTGAATGTGAGCGAAATGATCTGCGGAGCTGAAGATTCGCCCATTCACAATCAACAGCGACGTCTTGAACACTGGGTGGAGAACTTCAAGGCACAGTTTAGCTGGCNCAACGTTTCTCAACTATTTTGAAACTGCGTTTACAAGTGGACTACTGCGGGACATTTGTTCCGTAAGAATGGCATCTATCCCTTTATGTTATTCCACCTATATCTATCTTGATAGGTAGAAAAAGGAAACACCCACCTTCATTCTGATAGGCAGATGAAAATAAATAAGCAGACAAGGAAGAAAATCAGAACAGGAAAGTAAGTACGGCCATGGAAGGAATTCGAGAGTGATATCATTGATTGGCCAAACGAGAACTTCATTTTCAATATTCTACTTCCTGTAACCGAAATCGGTAGCGATTCGCGACGGATTTCAAACCCTCATTGATCGGAATCATCCGCATTAAATAAACGGAAACCAAGTTACATGGGACAAGAAGCAAGAAATCAATCTTTGGTTGCCCGAAAAGAGCAGTTTTGACGTTCTCTGTTGGGACGAATATCATTGGTCTCCCAGGTATTCACCGTCAAAAGCAGGTATGTAAAATTTTTGTCAATGTCACATGATAGGTAAAATGATTATTTTTACCTAAAACTGACTATTTTGTGAGTATCTGCAATTCGGAGCATCTGCAATCAATACCGATCTCGCGGAGAATAATCAACCATACCGCGTCACACGGAGACATTCACTCCGTCCGTCCGATCCGTGACTTATGATCGACTGAACTTTGCTAACTCCGTGAATTATGATCGATTGAATTTTGCTAACTGTGTACTTGATTGGCATAATCTTTTTCTTGCATTAATCGATGCTATTTTGGGTCACATATAAGCATCAGAGTAAAACTCGTAAATCGACTTGCTTTTCCTGTGTGCCAAGTACACGTTCACTGTGCACCAACTGTGTTCTTGCTTATGTAGCTGGGAGAAGGCTACTAGTGCTCGTGGCGTCCAATCTGTGCTG